GTTGATATTTTAGCACAGGGGTTTTGAATGTCTAACAGGGTTTTAGTGGCCTGGTAGTTTGTCAATGTCTCCGGACCCAGTTATGGTTGTGTTGTTTGAAGCCATGTTTCTCAGCCTGTTCTCTCTCCTCCTCCCTGATAAATTCCTTGTGTTTCTACTCCATGGTTAGTTAGGTTCAGGGAGCCACAAGGGGCTCCCAAGAAATTCAGTGCTGAATGCAATGAAAAGCTTCTTTCTGGTTGAGCCCCGGTGGCTGCTCGACTCCCTCTCCCCCTTCCAGGTTCGTTGGTTGGTTGCTGCTCTAGAAATGACTTGGAAGAGTTTGTGGGAGGCTGGAGCTCTGCACTCTCTGGTGGCGGTAGACTGATACTAATAGATTTGAGTTGGGTTAAATAGATTTAATCATCTGTTTATATTATTTGAGGAAGCTGTTTGCCAGTTTTCAAAGCTTCAGTTCATGTGAACCCAGCTGTGACTTTATGGGTGCTTTCCCAGTAGGGTGGCAGTAAGTCACTCCTTCACTGTGCCTCTGTGAGAGAGCAAGGTTCTGGCTCGGTCCCCAGTAGGCCAAATGAAACTATCAATTGACTGGATCTAGTAAATGGGAGCATTCTCAACAAGGTATCTTCAGGGAGCCACCACAGCTTAAAAAGAAAAAGGCATGTGTACAGTGTAGTGGTGGTTATGTGTACAATGTAGTGGTTATCTTGAGGTTATCTTGAGATGATTTCGGGGTTTTTTAGTGTCCCCGCGGCCCGGTCCTCGACCAGGCCTCCACCCCCAGGAAGCAGCCCGTGACAGCTGACTAACTCCCAGGTACCTATTTACTGCTAGGTAACAGGGGCATTTAGGGTGAAAGAAACTTTGCCCATTTGTTTCTGCCTCATGCGGGAATCGATCCCGCGCCACAGAATTACGAGTACTGCGCGCTATCCACCAGGCTACCAGGCCCACTACCAGGCTACCAGGCCCACTACCAGGCTACCAGGCCCACTACCAGGCTACGAGGCCCCCCTAGATTTAAATAGATTTAATCATTAATAATAGTGGTGGGTATGTGTACAGTGTAGTGGTGGGTATGTGTACAGTGTAGTGGTGGGTATGTGTACAGTGTAGTGGTGGGTATGTGTACAGTGTAGTGGTGGGTATGTGTACAGTGTAGTGGTGGGTATGTGTACAGTGTAGTGGTGGGTATGTGTACAGTGTAGTGGTGGGTATGTGTACAGTGTAGTGGTGGGTATGTGTACAGTGTAGTGGTGGGTATGTGTACAGTGTAGTGGTGGGTAGGTGTACAGTGTAGTGGTGGGTATGTGTACAGTGTAGTGGTGGGTATGTGTACAGTGTAGTGGTGGGTATGTGTACAGTGTAGTGGTGGGTATGTGTACAGTGTAGTGGTGGGTACGTGTACAGTGTAGTGGTGGGTACGTGTGTAGTGGTGGGTACGTGTACAGTGTAGTGGTGGGTACGTGTACAGTGTAGTGGTGGGTACGTGTACAGTGTAGTGGTGGGTACGTGTACAGTGTAGTGGTGGGTACGTGTACAGTGTAGTGGTGGGTACGTGTACAGTGTAGTGGTGGGTACGTGTACACAGTGTAGTGGTGGGTACGTGTACAGTGTAGTGGTGGGTACGTGTACAGTGTAGTGGTGGGTATGTACAGTGTAGTGGTGGGTACGTGTACAGTGTAGTGGTGGGTACACAGTGTAGTGGTGGGTGTACAGTGTAGTGGTGGGTACGTGTACAGTGTAGTGGTGGGTATGTGTACAGTGTAGTGGTGGGTAGTACAGTGTAGTGGTGGGTATGTGTACAGTGTAGTGGTGGGTATGTGTACAGTGTAGTGGTGGGTATGTGTGTACAGTGTAGTGGTGGGTATGTGTACAGTGTAGTGGTGGGTATGTGTACAGTGTAGTGGTGGGTATGTGTACAGTGTAGTGGTGGGTATGTGTACAGTGTAGTGGTGGGTATGTGTACAGTGTAGTGGTGGGTATGTGTACAGTGTAGTGGTGGGTATGTGTACAGTGTAGTGGTGGGTATGTGTACAGTGTAGTGGTGGGTATGTGTACAGTGTAGTGGTGGGTATGTGTACAGTGTAGTGGTGGGTATGTGTACAGTGTAGTGGTGGGTATGTGTACAGTGTAGTGGTGGGTATGTGTACAGTGTAGTGGTGGGTATGTGTACAGTGTAGTGGTGGGTATGTGTACAGTGTAGTGGTGGGTATGTGTACAGTGTAGTGGTGGGTATGTGTACAGTATAGTGGTGGGTATGTGTACAGTGTAGTGGTGGGTATGTGTACAGTGTAGTGGTGGGTATGTGTACAGTATAGTGGTGGGTATGTGTACAGTGTAGTGGTGGGTATGTGTACAGTGTAGTGGTGGGTAGGTGTACAGTGTGTGGGTAGGTGTACAGTGTAGTGTAGTGGTATGGTACAGTGTAGTGGTGGGTATGTGTACAGTGTAGTGGTGGGTGGGTATGTGTGTGGTGGGTATGTATACAATATAGTGGTGGGTAGGTGTACAGTGTGGTGGGTAGTGTACAGTGTAGTGTGGGTATGGTACAGTACAGTGTAGTGTACAGTGTAGTGGTGGGTATGTGTACAGTGTAGTGGTGGGTAGGTGTACAGTGTAGTGGTGGGTATGTGTATGTCCTTTCAGCAATTACATTTTATGTTTCAGCTATAATCTAGATAGCAAACAATCAATATTTAGTGGTCAATTTAAACGAAAGCAACACAATGCTTGGAGGAGACTGTGTAAGTAGAGGGACCAACTGGATGTCATTCTGGGGTGAACAAACAATTCTATAGTATATTCCTCTCCCCGTTATGATCGTGCAGAGGTGGCTGGGAAAGATGTTAGCTGGGAGCGTTACGCACAAGGTCACACTCATCTGGCCCTTAATGCAACACCTCACAGAGAAAGAGAACTACACAAAGAGAAATACAAAGTGTGAAAGAGAGATTAAGAGAAAGATAGACAAATAGACATACTCAGACATGGACAGACACAGAGACAGACAGAAAGACAGAAAGACAGAAAGACAGACAGACAGACAGACAGACAGACAGACAGACAGACAGACAGACAGACAGACAGACAGACAGACAGACAGACAGACAGACAGACAGACAGACAGACAGAGACAGACAGACAGACAGACAGACAGACAGAGACAGACAGACAGACAGACAGACAGAGAGACAGACAGACAGACAGACAGACAGACAGACAGACAGACAGACAGACAGACAGACAGACAGACAGACAGACAGACAGACAGACAGACAGACAGACACAGACAGATATACAGAGACAGACAGACATACAGAGACAGACACAGACAGACACAGACAGACAGACACAGACAGACAGACACAGAGACAGAGATAGACAGACAGAGAGAGACAGACACAGACAGATAGAAACAGACACAGACAACCAGAGGGGAAGAATGTGAGAACTAGAGACAAAGACAGGGGAAAAGGGGGGAAAATATACAGAAATGACTATACACAATATCAAATTAGAAATAACATTAGTGAACGTAACAAAGTGAGATAGAGAACATGCATAGGCCATAAATAGTAAAACAATAAGCAAGAGCATTCTTGATAATCCAAGATTACCGACACAATCCCTAATTATCAGTGATGTTCAGTGGAAGAGTTGTACACCAAAGTACAAGAATATCACTCAACAACTTACTAACGCATCAAACCGCAAATTTAGTACAACACAATTAATATATCCATTCTCAATTGACTTTCTTTACAAGAGGAGATGTATTTAACATTTTATTAGGCTTTACACCAGTGAAGAGAAGGGAACTAACAGAAGAAAGTGTCAAGCCATACGAATATATAGTACTTTGAAAGGATCAGGATAAGGATTTGGGATGGGACGGGGTAAAGGAATTGTGGCCATCCTCGTGGACGGTCGGGGATTGAACCTGCATGAAGCGAGACCGTCACTCTACCGTCCAACCCAAGTGGTTAGGTTTTACATCAGTGAACCACTCCATGTAAAATAATAAAATTAACCCTCTGGCTGCAACACTACTTTTTTACCCAAATACCTATTTTAATGATGAATATATAATAAAAAAGAAAAATTTGTATTCATGATTTTTATTGCACATATAATAAAACAAAAACTGTGCTCTTTCAAGTTGTGTAATTGAATACAAAATTAATATATTTTTTAATAAAAAACAATTATTTTTAATCTACATTTTCTAACATATAACATGGTCTCAGTAACCTAAAATCAGTGTACCTGTGTTCCCAAGAACATTTTAAACACAATTAGTAATCATAGAGGGGGGGCATTTTTTATTTTAGTTTTCACCATTTTTATTTTATTTCCTATAATATCAAGGTGTGGTCTCTGCGTATATACCATGAAAGGTCATCGCATACACCTGCACCATCTGTAGGGGACGAAGGAGACCAGGCACAGGACGAATGTCTCGGTGCAACAAGCACTGCTCCCGGCCTGAACCACAAGGCGAGAGAAGCTATAAACTGCCGTGGCCAAGGGAAATCACTTATCTTGTACACAACATGTTATAACATTCAAAATAACATCACATACCTTAATAGTGCAAAAAAACAAAACAAAACATAAGGAATAGATGTGAGATGTGGGTCGTGGGTTAAGGTTAGAAGGAAGAATATCTGCCAATTTTGGAACTAAAAAATGGAGTGATAATTACTGTCAGCAATTACTTTCAGCATTTCCCAGATCCAGAAGCGAGTTTTAAAGGTCAGAGGACCTGATCAAATATTATATGACTCGTAAATTTTTATCTAGACGTGTGGATTCAGGTTCCATATTGCATTGTATTTTGTGAGTCAACTTAATTATGTTTAGATCAGCCAAAAGGTTAAAGTGAGAAAATTCAAAACTACTAGCAACTTTAATTTTTATCTCTGAACTGAAGAATACATCTGGAAATTTTATGGCTTGAAAACAAAATTTCTATTCTAAGATAAAATATATCTTACCTGAATAGTCTGACTTTGATCTGAGAATGGACTGTTGAAGAATGTTGTGATGATTGTCATAAGAGAGTTGATCACATAGTTCTCCAGGGCTCTGCCAGAATTAAATGGCAGTTACTATACATAAGTCTTTTATCCAAAGTGCTTCAGTATTTAGTAATAAATATAACACACATTGTACATGAATAAATATGCACACATATTGAACACTTTGAGCTTCAGTTTTATCCGTAAATCTCACACCGTAAATGTAATATGAAAATAGGTACAATAATCACGCAAATGTTCATAAGTGCACGTGTACACTTTCAACGTACATTTCCTCTCACATAATAACATTTACACGTATATATAGACGGTTGGTATGTATAGGTTGTGATAAAAATTTGTTTGCTAAAATTGTTACCTAGTCCTAGTCTCATTCACACATTAGATTATTTCACTGTAGATCTCTGATCCGCAAGTCGTCTTCTCTTAAGAACCAGGTGCCAGATTCATGAAGCAGTTACGCAAGTACTTACGAACGTGTACATCTTTCCTCAATCTTTGACTGCTTTGGTTACGTTTATTAAACAGTTTACAAGTATGAAACTTCCCAATCAACTGCTGTTATTGTCATAAACAGCCTCCTGGTGCTTCAGAGCTCATTAACTGTTTAATAATTGTAAACAAAGCCGCCAAAGATTGAGAAAAGATGTACAGGTTCGTAAGTGCTTGCGTAACTGCTTCGTGAATCTGGCTCCAGATTCTGGTCCTGGCTTGTGGAAGGTCAGGATGGGTCTCATGGCCCTGGTGCTTCTGTCTGAGGCATGACCTAACTAGCACAGGAGACTGCTGATGCCTTCCCCAGAAAAACTTGGGAGGAATGCAAGTTACAAAACTCAGTATTAAATTATATGAAATGCCAAAGTCTAGTGGAGCTCCAGTGGCTTCATGAAGCTACCTTCCTAAGATTGCTTCACCCTAAAACATGACATCAACCACAGCTAGTTGTGTTAGGCTTACGGAGGACCACGACCTCGCCCCCTTTACAGGCACACACAACATGGGACAATCTACCAACTCACAAAAAGGAAGCATCCACAATGTCAGTGAAGCTTTACACACAACTCCAAGTTAAATCTTCGCTTAAATTTTGTATTTGATCCCTGATCTAAAATATGCATAAAATAAAAATTGGAGACTGACTCAATAGCTTTAAAATGGTATTTGACAGAACTCTATATGTGCCAATGGAGCCGAGATACATCCTTTTGAAATAAGGAATAACCTTGGAAAATTTACCATTTTTTTTTGCAAAATTCAAGGTCACATATCTCAGGATTTATTTTTAGCTAGAGGTGAGATAAAAGTCACTAAATTTATCTCACTGATATCTGTGTGTACCAAATTACATCAAAATTGGAGATAGTGCCAGAAACCACCTGCATGACCCAGCATTCATACACGGAACTTCAAGAACAAGAGGTCATAGATTTAAACTAACGAAACAAAGCTTTCCGTAGAAATAATATAAGAAAATTTACTTTTGTAAACAGAGTGGTAGATGGCCACCTTCTCACCTAACTTGTGAATAAATTAGGTGAGAAGGAGGCGGAGGCCAAAACCATTAGTAATTTCAAAGCGTTATATAACAAAGAGTGCTGGGAAGACGGGACACCATGAGTGTAGCTCTCATCCTGTAACTACACTTAGGTAATTGCACTTAGGTAATTACTAAGTACATTCGACTGTATCCTAGAAGACATTTAAAGACTAGGGCTAAGAATAGTTATGGTCTAAACCTAGACATTACGCCATCGGACCTGGTTCACTTCCAACACTGTACTTCCTCGCTCACTCATCATCATGTGTGATCCATTTGCATCTCATCAAGCACTTTCTCTTAGTATTTTATAATACTCTGAACAACACTGCACACCACAACACCAATACCTTAATTAATGGTTACAATCATTGGTTATGTACAAATTTGCAGTTTAACCACAATAAATATTGTCTTAAAAGCTAATATTTATTTGTTAACATTACTAATTATACAATATGCTGAATATTAAATACTGTACTGATATTCAAGTCTCACATTCATTTCATTCATTTCATTCATTCACATCTATAAATCCATCACTCTTTGTAAAATCTCTTGTATGTATGTACCTTACCTAAATAAACATTTGATTTGATTTGATTTGATTTGGCAAGCAGCACTTAAAAGTTTCACTTCCATTTTAATATGAAACACTTGATTCCCTACAGTAATGACAAAACACACAATTAAAATGTTCAGAAACCAGATGTTAATCTGTGCAGAACAATTGAGCTCCTCCAACTTCCTCACCCAAAATGAGAATTTTGTGATCTTTATTGCAAAAAAACAGCATTTGAATGTAATGGAACACCATTTTCTGGGTGAGCCCCGGAGGCTCCCTGGAGCTTATCGGCCTAATGTATGTTATATTAGACCGGGATATTAGCTAAGGAGTTCAGACCTACCAGGGACCAGCGCCAAAACCTGGCCCCTTCAGAGAGGTTTCAGGGAGCAATGGCCCTGAAAACCCCATTGTGGTTGGGGTTTTCCTTATCTGCTGTCGACTGGGGTTAGGCACCCAAAAACAAACCCCTCATGGTAAGAAACAAATAATAAAAATCGAACAAAGAGGTAGAAGTCCCTTCAGTCCAAAGGAAACAAGGAAACAAGCAAACATCACACTCTACTGCCATGCCGCTCCTCTGTGCAGCCCTTCCCTTGCCAAGAGTGGAAGGGGGGGGGCTCCGAACCTCACTGCGCCGGCAGCATAGCACTCCAGTTTGGAAGCTGAGCCTCAAACAATGCAAAAAAAAATGCCGACCAATGGGAAGGAGGGTTGCCAGGGAGCCTCCGGCTCCCTGAGCGCCCCACATTATGAGGCGACAGGATTAGGCATCAAATGGCAGTCCTGAAAAGCCAAGAAAGAAAAAACAAGACAACCCAATCTGAAATAGAAGACAACCTACGAAGAGAGAGGAAATGGTGAAAAGAACGCCAGGAAACTTCATACTGTCACCGAGACGAAGCTCTCAGTTGGGACACCATCAACAAAGCCACCTGATCACCATAAAGATGGCGATACATCAGCGCTAAAAGACCAGATGTGAAGTGCAGAGGAGAAGGCCAAACCAGCCACGTACCGGACCGGGCCGACATGCTAAAAGAGGCGGAGCCGCGGGAAATGCCCTGGATTCGGACACCGACCAAGCAGTACTCGAAACCAAGGCTGGGCCGGCCACCAAAGGGCCATGAAGACTATTCTCCCTGGAAAGGACTCCAACTGAGCCAGAACCCAAAGCAACAGCTGGACAGGAGGGAAAAGGTACAGGTAACAGAATGAGCCTTACCCCCACCCCCCCACCCCCACCTCCCCGTCAATGGGGCTAAACGTGAAAAGGGCCGATGCCCCTTACGAGAAACCGAGCACCGAACAGAGCAATAATTGCACTGACCAGACGACACCGGCTCCAAAATTGGCACCAATGACCCACCCCCAACCAGCAGAACCCCTAGCTCTGGCACAACCACTCCAAGAAGGCCGAGAACGGCTGCCCCTGAGAACCAAAAAGTCCGACATAGGACAACAACTAGATGAAGCTGCCTGCAGAAACTGCGTGACCGCAGCCTCCATAAACAGCAACGGACAAAACGGAGACGAATAGCAAAGAGCCAAGGCCCAAGCAGATTTCAAAGAGAGGGCAAGCACAGCCTGACAGCACGTGAAGCAAGAAGCAAAGAACAGAGACACCGCCTCCTTCTTGATAGGTGCAAAGAGCCTCAACAGTGCAGCCGACACCCTAGCCGTCGAGTACAGCACCCCAGACAAAGGCCCAGCACTGAACGCCTCCACATTTTCCTCAAGCCAGGCAGAAAACAGCTCGAGAAGAGAAAAGAAACACAAGACCGTGGTCAATGCCCACGGGCGCGCAAATCCTCTGCAACCAAAGACACTAAAAGGGAATGAACCTGCACGTGCAGCTGCAAAATGCCAACATTCCGAGAAAGCATGGGGGAGAACAAGTACGCATTAAGGCACTCAAACTCACCCCCCGTCTCCCAGGTAAACCTGCAGAATGGTAGAAGTTTCTCGCCATTCAAGCGTGCGGGTCCGACAGAACCCATGCCACGCCCCCGGGGAAAAGAATGGGCAGTCTGCCAGCCAGGTAGACTCCGGAACCTCCAAACGCACCCAAAACGGCGAAGAACCGAAGTCAAAAGAGGACGGATCCATGAGAGGCAGAATCCGGGGTCTCGCAGGAGGTATGCTGCAAGAACCTCCCAAACCTCCCTCGCAGAGATACGAAAAGCAGAAAATCTCCGGAAAGATGGGGTTGAGGTACCCAAAGAGGCCCGGAACCAAACCCGGGGAGGAGGCGAACCCAAATCATACTCATACAGGGAAGGGGGGAAAGAAAACCCATCCCCCTGCAACAACAAGCCCCGCAAGGAAGGCACTAGCACCCAAGTGGGTGCTAAGGGGGCCCAAAGCCATCAGGTCACCTCCTCCCCCTGCCCTGAGATCCCCCAAGTTGGGACCCGGGGCAGAGCTGTCCTCCAAACCCTCTACCCCTGAAGAAAAGGCAGAGTCCAGGGAAAAGGCTGACAAGAAGGGGGCCTGCTGGTGGGACCCAGAAGCCTCGGCAGGAAGAGCCAGCTCAAATACGTCCGTCCTTAACCCGAATGGGGCAGCCTCTGAAGCTGCCAGAGTCTCATTACCAACTAAACCTCGTGCCGACTCCGAAACCCTCAGATGTTTGGGAGCCGGAAACAGGGGTGAAGGCGCAGGAGAGGCAACAGAGAAAGGACCAGGGAACATGGACTGAACCAAAGTCGAGGCAACTAACGTCTCCAGATCCAGGTCCCTATAACCAAAGCAGGGAAGCCGCAGAGCATCTAGGCAGGAAACCAACCTAGCACGTTGCAGTAACCTAAACCTAACATGCAACTCAGATGCCGCCTGTATCCTAACTGCAATATCATTAGAATGAAATTGGAACACAGAGAACACGACTCGCAAGACTCTGGGTCAAAAGTGTCATTGACCCAGTGGGGAGCCGGTCGGCCGAGGTGGGGAGCCGGTCGGCCGAGGTGGGGAGCCGGTCGGCCGAGCGGACAGCACGCTGGACTGTGATCCTGTGGTCCCGGGTTCGATCCCGGGCGCCGGCGAGAAACAATGGGCAGAGTTTCTTTCACCCTATGCCCCTGTTACCTAGCAGTAAAATAGGTACCTGGGTGTCAGTCAGCTGTCACGGGCTGCTTCCTGGGGGTGGAGGCCTGGTCTAGGACCGGGCCGCGGGGACACTAAAAAAAAAAAAAGCCCCGAAATCATCTCAAGATAACCTCAAGATGACCCAACAGGCAGCATGACGGAGGCAAAACAGGTGACCATCACCTGAGACAAGGGGCACACAGCAATCTTCCAACCCGCACAAGGTGGGTTGGAACTCTAAAGATGCATCCATTGGTCCACCGAACACGACAGGGTTTTCCAGGACCCGAGGGGTGTCGACTACGGGAAGCCCGGGTAAGGTGTTGCCAACTGGTTAAACACAAAAATCTAGCAAGGGGTAGAGAATAACAATGAAAATCCCTGTGACGTGTACAATCCTGGGAGCAGAGGGCCACCAAAACAGTATCAGTGGAACTATAGCCACACTAGGCAGACCCCCAACAGGCAAATGAAAACAAAAAGAAAAGAAAAACCCCGCAAAAGAACACCGTCTCCAAAGGCAACAGGAACCGGTTCCCACATAGGTGGCAGGCTGCGCAACACCTTGACGCCCTAACCAGCACGATACCACTCCCTACCCAAAGCCAAACAAGGGCCCCAAGCCCCAGCTGGCCTCAAGGGCGAGGCAAATGCCAAGTAGCAAAAACCTCTATGGGAATGGTTCCCGAACGCCCCAGGGAAGATAACCCTAACACGCAAAGGCAGTACTCACAGGGCTCTTAGGGAAGGAAGCCCCTAAGTGCATGCGGCCCCAGTACTGAAGAGTAACTCTCGGCCACCACACGCAACAAGAACACAGCAGAGCGCGCCACACAGGCAAACACCGCCAAGGAATTTGAGGCCAAAGAAGTGTCTATTCCGGTTGACACTAACTTACAAACTGGAGTGCTATGCAGCCGGCGAGGTGAGGTTTGGGGGGCCCCCCTCTACGCGGACAAGCGGTGCGGCAGTAGAGTGTGACGTTTGTTTGTTTGCTTGTTTCCTTGGGATTGAAGGGAGTTCTACCTCTGTTCAGTTTTTTTGTTAGTTTCTTACCATGTAGGGTTTGTTTTGTTATGCCTACCTTTCTGGGTGCCTAGCCCCGGTCGATGGCAGATAAGGAAAACCCCTAACCACAGGGCGAGGGGTTTCCAGGGCCACTGCTCCCTAAAACCTCTCTGAAGGGGCCAGGTTCTGGCTTGTGGGCCCTGGTAGGTCCAAACTCCATAGCCAATGTCCAGGTCTAATATAAAACACATTAATCCAATAAGCTCCAGGGAGCCATAGGGGCTCCCGCACAAATTTCCCTTTACATTGCACAAACAGAAAAATAACTTACTTGTCAGCATGTCTTCGGTCAGGGGGGGCAGTGGCTACTCGGCCCATATCTACCAGGAAAGACTTCTCAAATAAGCTCCATATATGATGAGAATTATAGATTTCTTTCATTTCAACTTCAGTGTCAATGTAACAGTGGTTGAGGAAGTTGATGTAAGCTTCTTTAACCTAAAGGAATAAGTCTAACATCAGCAGTTAATAAAAGATACTGTGCAGTATTATTTGAAAAAGACAAATATTGTGCAGACTTTAAGTCATATACTGTATATACATTACAATTTATACAAACTATATATACATTTTCTTCCAATACACCCAGCCAATATCAATGGACTCTGTTGATCCAAAAGTCCAAACATGGATAAAGTATTCAAAGGTATATACAATAAATTAAAAAATATATATTGGATGGTGAACATGCAAGCTGCCCTCAAACAAGCAAACCACAACCATTATCATCAATGAAAATCCACAACTTAAAGGCCTCAACACTTCTCTAACAGGAAAAAAGCTTATAAAGATTTTTAATTTTTGTGGAATGGTTTAACCATTAATGTTGCAACTAATATCGGACAGTGAAAACATGAACCTTGTCAGGTTGAGAAGCACAGTTAGGAAAATTGTGTTAACCTTGAAGTCAGGAATATCAGTAATGGGCATAAGGATTTTGAGTTAACATGTACATATTACTGGTAAAATAATAAAACCAGCATTGGATGTAATGAAATGCCAATTTCTGGGTAAGCCCAGGTGGCTTCCTGAAGCTACAATGCTGATACAGTACCAAACTACTAGGTGCCATCAGTCGCAGGTCTTTTAGGCCTACTGGGGCCCACGAGCCAGAACCTGGCGTCCCTTTTCTCTGTGCCTCTAATGAGGCACAGAGAAATGGCCCAATGATAAAACTGTCTGAACTTTAATCTTGTCTGCCACCACCCAGGAAGCATGCACAAAGTCAGCAAAATGAAATAGACCCCTGCTTGTTATAAAAAATATTAAGACCTCAAAATAGCCAAAAGAATTCACCCCAAAATTTAAAGAAACTATCGAAAATTGATGAAACCAGCAGTAGCTTATGGAGGGAGGCAGACCGGGTCAGTTGGTTGCTTCACCCTCAGTTACACAATTCCCAGTACTCCCCACCAGCCAAAATTCGCTCCTGGCCCCAAGGAAGCCCGAAAGATAAACACAAACTTACCTAAGGCGAGGACCACAAGCGAGGAAGCTCTCTAAGGAAGCAAACCCCAAACACCCCAAGGAAGAGAATCCCTGGCAGCACAAGGGCAGTGCCAGGGAGCTCACAGGGAAGAAAGTCTTGTGTACATGCTGCTCCAAGCATCCTATATTCGTGGCTCACACAGCACAAACATTCATTGGAACAGCCATAAAGGAGGGAACAAAAAATAGCTGCAGGCAGGGAAACAAGAGCCAGAGCAACAGGCAACAGCCAGGCACTAGCTACCATCAGCAAGAGCTGATAATGGAGCAGATGGGAGACCCGGTCTGCCTAAATCCTCCCTCTTTACGAGGGAGTAGGAGGGTACAAGCTACCACTAGTTTCAGGAAATTTGTCAATTGTTTACATTTTAGACGAGTCCTTTTGGCAATAATGAGGTCTTAATATTTTGTATAACCAGCAGGAGTCTGTTTTGTTTTGCTGACTTTGTGGGTGCTTTTCCGGTGGTGGTAGATATGAATAAAATTCACTGAGAATTTTATCATAGTGCCACTGCTCTCTGCACCTCTCTAGAAGGGGCCAGGTTCTGGCTTGTGATCCCCGGTAGGCCTAAAAGAACTCCGTGACTGATGGCATCTAGTAGTTTGGCACTATAACAGCATTGTAGCTTCAGAGAACCATAAAGAGCTTTCCCCAGAAAATTTCAACATTTTGGCTATAGAGAATTATCTCAAATTTGATCTGCAGCTATCAATCCTAATACCATGAGGACAGTTTATGGCAGGTTACATCATGAAAAATTTACAGCATTCTTTTAAAGATTTCTATCAAACCTATGTAATGACAATTGGATTCCCTCTTTCAATAGCTATAATCAGGATGTTTAATCTACTTAACACTTAAGAGGTTTCAAGTAATGAAACTTGTGTTGAAGATGGTATGATCCAATTGTTAGGATACATTACTGTAGTTTAAATGTGCATATATAGTAGTACAGCATATTTATTGTGTGCGCACGCACAAGGAACAGCTCTTCTCTGCTACCACAGAGATGCATAATTGTTAAGTACTGAAATAATCCCTAGGTGGATCATGTGCAAACACCTACAAGAACAGGATATAAAAGCAATTATGAATTCTACAGAGAAGCATATGCACATACAGTTTGGTGATGCTTCCTTGAGAGGACAATGTCTACTGTTGGCATGCTCATGTCTGTTGCAAGTTACAAGATGGGATTAAGATGAAAATGGCTGACATTGGTCAGATGCCCAAAACAAAACTCAAGAACTAGTAAAGTTGTGGTCTGACAACAGAGGATTCAGAAATATAATTAATATTGGCAAAATTAAATTCAAATTGACAAGAAATAAATCTAGGTTTTTGCTATATTTGCAAGCCACAACTACTGAGCAGATAAATTTAATAAATATATATCAATCGTTTGAGCTGAAATTGTTTCATCTTCATGGCTGCACCAAATTTTCCCCACAGCCAAAGTAAGTGGAATGTATCAAGAATTTACCATCACCAATTAACCACTGTGCTGCGCCAATCGAGAAAACTCGGTCGGTGAGAAACTGCACCAACCGAGAAAACACATTTTGAATATTTCATACCCATTCAAAATGCGTGCGCAGTAGGTTGTGTATGAAATGGACTCTTAGGACCTCCAGCAAGAGGCAGCCATCTTGGAAAAAATTCCCAAGATGTCCTAGGGATGCTGGCTGAATTAGTATTGAGTGAGCAACCATGGGGTGGCACAAGCGCCTCAGGCTCCCAAACATCTGTCTGATGCGGTGTTGAAAGATCACTCTCTGTTAGTGAAATTCAGACCCAATTGTTTGAAGAACATAAGGGTCATGATACTGATGAAGCTAGGTGCAATAAGGACCTAACACAAAGGTCAGATGCAAGTGATACAGCACCAATGAGGACGAATCAGTGAGTGTATCCAGTTGTAACTCTGAGCGCCACTCTTGCCCACCTATGCCATCTCCAATTTTTATAGATGATACAGTGATGAATCGTATTCTGGGTTCAGTGATGATGCATCTGATACAAGTAGCATAGATGAACAGTGTTAGTGACTTCCATGGTGGTGTTTTCCATAGACACTTTCAAGAATAGCTGAATCTTTTCTAGACTGACTGAATCTCTTCCAGGGAGGGGCCCTTACAAAGCGATCTTTTCAAGACTACCAGTACCTTACAAATTGATCTTTTCCCATAATCTTTTCAAGACTACCTTACACTCTATAAGTTTGGTTACATACCACCTACAGGTACTAAAGCCAAGGGTGTATGTGAGTGTTTTATTTGCAAGCACACAGAATGGAGAAACAGGAAGCTAAATTCTATCTGATCGTGGTGCAACGAGAGCGAAGTCACGCTGTGTACCATGGACTACTTCGTTGATTATTACTCACTTCTGAAGTACTGAGTGTGTAATACAGTTTGTTACTGTGTAAATAGTGTGTGAAACTGTACATATTGTAATTTTAGTGAATTTTCAACAAGTAATATTGCAACAATAAACATTTATTGTGGACACATTACTGCCTCCTGTATCACAGTTCCATGGAACATTATGAACGTTCTATTGTATACATATTGTAAAGGACACAAATATGCATCATATAAGATAAAAAAACTAATAAAACCGCATTGGAAATGCATAGAACAAATAATTGAAAATATATTTGTGGCAACACCCAGTGCTTGAATGGCCCGCGCGGCTGTGTCTGGGCGTGTCACGCACGGGCGACCAGGCCCTGATGACGTCACAGCGCACCTTACCTTGAGGTTACCTTGAGGTTACCTTGAGGTTACCTTGAGGTGCTTCCGGGGCTTAGCGTCCCCGCGGCCCGGTCGTCGACCAGGCCTCCTGGTTGCCGGACTGATCAACCAGGCTGTTGGACGCGGCTGCTCGCAGCCTGACGTATGAGTCACAGCCTGGTTGATCAGGTATCCTTTGGAGGTGCTTATCCAGTTCTCTCTTGAACACTGTGAGGGGTCGGCCAGTTATGCCCCTTATGTGTAGTGGAAGCGTGTTGAACAGTCTCGGACCTCTGATGTTGATAGTTCTCTCTCAGAGTACCAGTTGCACCTCTGTTTTTCAACGGGGGTATTCTGCACATCCTGCCATGTCTTCTGGTCTCATGTGATGTTATTTCTGTGTGCAGGTTTGGGACCAGCCCCTCTACTATTTTCCACGTGTAAATTATTATGTACCTTGTCCAAGTCCCCACAGCTAAAGTAAGTGGAATTTGGTATTTATTTTTACATAGGCATGTTCAAGGAAGGGAATTCATCATTTTACAAAGAAAAAAGAATTTTGGGGAACACTTGATTTCATGCGCACAGGAGGAATTTCACAATAAACTCAGCACATTTCACACAGTGGTTAACCTGAATTATATCTTGCAACTCCAATATTTTTTATCTAACTCTTATGTATATATATATATATGTGTGTCCATGTATGTGCGTATATATGTAATTACCTAAGTGTAGTTACTGGATGAGAGCTACGATCGTGGTGTCCTGTCTACCCAGAACTCTGTCATATAACGCTTTGAAGATACTGACAGTCTTGGCCTCCACCACCTTCTCACCTAACTTGTTCCAACCGTCTATCACTCTGTTTGCGAAAGTGAATTTTCTTATATTTCTTCGGCATCTTTGTTTAGTTAGTTTAAATCTATGACCTCTTGTTCTTGAAGTTCCAGGTCTCAGGAAATCTTTCCTATCGATTTTATCAATTCCTGTTACTATTTTGTATGTAGTGATCATATCACCTCTTTTTCTTCTGTCTTTTAGTTTTTGGATATTTAATGCCTCTAACCTTTCCTTGTAGCTTTTGCCCTTCAGTTCTGGGAGCCACTTAGTGGAATGTCATTGCACCTTTTCCAGTTTGTTGATGTGCTTCTTAAGATATGGGCACCATACAACCGCTGCATATTCCAGCTATTGTCTAATAAAAGTCGTGA